AAAATATCTAGATTTTGTTTAAAAATTTATAAATTAAAAAAACAGTTTTTAAATTTTATTTGACAATTTTAAAAAAAGTTCATACAAATTACTGATGAAGGCAATAATCCAAAAATCAGAAACGTTGGCTATAAATACACCGCAAAAAAAAAAGAAATACATGTTTTAGTATAAATGTTGGTTTAGTTTAGTGTTTGTAAAAAAATGTTTTTTGGTTATTTTTTTATTTATCAATTTTATCTATATTTTAATCATTATTAAATATTTTAGAGCGAGACAGATATATCCATATCTATATATAAAGGGAGCGAGAAAGAGAGAGGTATATGTATATCTGTTGTGCATATGACTATGTATATATGTATACATATAAAATAAAAATATGTAGATTTTATTTTAGTATATATTAAAAAAAAATAATTTGAGAAGGAGACAGATGTATGCATACATAAAAGAAACGGAAAAGATGTATATAATATATGTATAAAATTTTAATGTATTTATGTATATGTATACAATAAAATATCTAGATTTCGTTTTATTAGTATTAAAAAACTATTTAATATATTTTTTTTTATTATACTACATACAGAGACAAAAGTATGTATATATAAAGGAAACGAAAAAGATGTATATAATATATGTATAATATTTGTATGTATATATAAATATGTATATGTATATAAATAAAAACATCAAGATTTCGTTTTTTTAGAATTTAAAATTTATTTAATATCATTTTTTTTTATTAATATCAGATAGAGACCAAAATATGTATATATAAAGGGAGCGAGAAAAAGAGAAATTTATGTATGTATAATATTTGTATGTATATATGATATATGTATATATATAGAATAAAAATATCTAAATTTCATTTTTGAACGTATCTAAAAATCAATCAATATTTTTGTTATTAATTTCAGAGTGAGACAGATGTATATACATAAAGAGAGCGAGAATGAGAAGTATATATATATGTATGTATAATATGTATATGTACATATGTACGTGTATATACATAGAATTAAAATATCTAGATTTCGTTTTAGTACAGATTTAAAAATTATCAAATATCATTTTGTTTTTATTAATTTCAAAGTGAAACAGATGTATATGTATATAATATATATGTGTAATAAGTGTATGTATATGTGTATGTATATATATATATATATATATATATATATATATAGAATTAAAAATATCTAGATTTCGTTTCAGTACATATTTAAATATTATTTAATATTTTTTATTAATTTGATATAGAGACAGATGTATGTATATACAAGAAGCGAGAAACAGATGTATGTAAATGTATGTATAATATATGTATGTATATATGGTTATGTATATAAATAAATTCATCAAAATTTCGATTTAGTAGTATTTAAAAATTATTTAATAATTATTTCAGATAGAAACAGATGTCTATACAAAGGGAGCGAGAGAGAAAAGTATGTATATGTATATATGAGTATTTATATGTATTTGTATATATGTAAAATGTTTATGTATATATGTCTATATAAAATAAAAATATCTAGATTTAGTTTTAATACAGATTTCCAAATTATTTAATCATATTTTTTTATTAATTTCCGAAAGAGACAGATTTACTGTGTATACAAAGGGAGCGAGAAAGAGATGTATAAATATGTATATATGAATATGTATATGCATTTGTATATATGTAAAATGTTTATGTATATACGTATATACGAGGTGTGTTCAAAAAGTACCCGGAATTTTTAAATTTCGCGGGTCTGGAGTGTCTGATTGTCAAAATTTTTTTTTATTGTGTTGGTATACATGCCCCTAAAGTATGATGAAATTTTCAGCTATATTCACTGTTCACTTGTCTGTGGTAGTCGCTAAGGTTCGACGTGTTTTTCTGAGCTCGGCGATTTTTACAATGGAAGAATTGAAAAGTCAAAGAATTGTATTAAATTTTGCGTAAAAAATGAAATAAAGTGTTGCAAAGTGCAAAAAATTCACCAGATATGGCTCCGTGTGACTTTTTCCTATTCCCAAAGTTGAAGAGACCCATGAAAGGACGGCGGTTTTCCTCGATTGAAGAAAATCGCTGAGAGTGCTCAAGGACATATCAAAAAGTGAATATCAAGGGTGCTTCGAAAATTGGAAAAAACGCTGGCATAAGTGTATTATATCTGGGGGGGACTACTTTGAAGGGGACCACATTAATGTAGACGAATAAATAAATATTTTTTTGAAAAAACGAAAATTCCGGGTACTTTTTGAACAGACCTCGTATATAGAATAAAAACATCTAGATTTTGTTTCAGTACAAATTTAAAAAATATTTAATATTATTTTGTTTTTATTAATTTCA